ATAAACAAACAAAAAGTACTTTAATCTCAGTGCTGCCTCTAATTTCACTGTCTGAACCTTTAGTGCTTCAGAATACTCTTGCCAAAAGTATAGGGAAGATTACAGTCCCACTCTACCACACCACAAAAACACACTAAATTCTTCCCACCCCTAATGGTAGCTCACATTCCTACAGTACTTGATGGTTTACAGAGCACTTTCACAACCATTATCCCATTTAATCCTCACAACAATTCAAAGAGAAAAATAGTGAAATTTTAGTCATCCCTGTTATTCACTTGATTTCTTCCAATCAAATATAAGCTCCCTGAAGGCAGGAATTGGTTGTTTGTTTTCTTTCTTTTTTGTGTTTGTATCTATAGCACTTTGCATAATGCCAGACATAAAATATAGGTCTTAAGAAAGGTTTATTGGATTGAACAGAGTAAAAGACTCAGAGAGACTCTTTGGGGCCCACACTTGGTGTTCTTCCTGCTATATCCTAGCTCATCTTAGTAGTCAGGTTCTTCTTGCTTTATAAAGGCCTTCCTGACCATTTTACTTTGAACTGGGTTTTTTGAACTAGATTATCTCTCTCAAACTCACATCTGAGAGGATATCAAGGCCACCAAGTAAGACTCAGTAGACCTGGGTTTCTCCCTCCTAGCTCTGACCTCTTTCCCTCTTCTGAACTGGTCACTTAGCCTAGATGGCCCTCTATTGCTATTTATCTTGTCATGTATATCTTTAACACGTTTGTAAGCTCCTGAAAGGCAAGAGCATTGTCTTATACTTCTGCCATATAACCTGACATACAGTAGGTATGCAAGAAATACCTGCTGAATATTGAAAAAAGCAAATTCTAATCGACTTCCTAACAAAGAATGGAATCTCCATTTTAAAATTATTTTGAACTAGAAGGACTCTAAAAGGTCATCCAATCCAACCCCTTCCTTTTACAGGAGACTGAGAGTTGGAGAAGGGCAGTTGTTTGCCCAAGTTAGTAAGTGGGATCATCAGAACTTGAACTCACATCTTCTGACTCTAAGTGCAGTGTCTTTTCCACTGAACAACACATAAAGGTACAATTGTTGTTGTCCATCCCACCCCACCCCCACCCCCAAGGGACTGCCCAAAATCTTTTATTGAATGGTGTTTCATTGGCCTATATAAAAGCATTGTGCAATGGTGGATAAAATTCAGGGCTTGGTTTGAGAAAGAGCTCTCTTCATACCCTTCCTGGGATGTTCAGTAACTGTGTGACCATGTTCTGGGAAGTCATTTAATTTCTCTGTACCTTAAGCAGCAATATATACAATCTTGTAGACTATAGATGGGTTATAATCTGATTGATACAGGGAGTTCCCATGCTGATAAAATCACAAGTCCTTGACATAAAAGACCATAGATTTAAAGGTGGATGGCATTTCAGAAGTGATTTTCCCAAGGTCAAGCCATTAGTAATTGCCAGGAGAGAGATCTGAACTCAGGCTCTCTTTACTCTAAATCCACTGCTCTCTCCACCCTTTGACACTCACTTTAACACTTCAGTGGATCAGTGATTTCACTTGTATGAGTCTTCTCCTGACCATTAGCAAGTACAGCTCTCCAGCACTTTCTTATATGCTAAGGTTTCTGGCCAGCATAATCTTCTATCTAATTCAACAAACATTTATCAAGTACCTATTATGTACAAGGCTCCGTACTCATGATGGGAGGATATGCTGCTCCAGAGACGAAGGCATGACCCTCGAAATCACAGACCTTACAGTGTTAACAGAGAAGACAAGGCACGCATGCAAATAACTATAATGCCAATAGAATGTCATCAGTATTACCTCTAAGATTTTCTCCCTCTAAATCCTATTATCTGATGACTAGGTATTATTTTTCTGATTCTTAATAGACAATTTCATTGAGTGATTATGAGTAAGTCACTTCATTTCTAAGCCTCAGTTTCTTCATCTGTAAAATAGGGACAATAGTCATTATAGTATATATAATAACTATAGTATTACAGTAAGTATAAGTTTTAACTCACAGGATTATTGTGAATTTAAGGATGGGGTTGATTGAACCAATCACTCCCTCCTACCCCAATTGAAGAATGTAGCCTCTGGATACTTACTAGCTGTGTCACCCTGGGCAAGTCACTTAATCTCTACTTACCTAAGTTTCCTCATCTGCAAAATAGAGACAATAATAATACCTCACAAGGTTCTTGTAAGGATAAAATGTGATAATATTTGAAAAATGCTTCTAAAACTTAAAGTACTATATAAATGCTAGCTATTAACCAATGAGATGCTACACCCTGATAACTTTGTCAGATGAGACATATCGAATCAGTCAAAGGATATTGAACTAAATGTGAATAACATAGTTTACCAAGTTGAGAAGGAGGAGAATGTTCCTAGCCACTGGGTGAAATGAAATGATGCTATAAAAGAAATGTTTTGAGGTTGATTGAGAAGACTCAGTGATACCTTGTAAGGCTTTCTATAAAATAAGAAGTCAATCAATCAAACAATAAATTTATTAAGCATCTACTACATGCCAAACATGAGTTGGGTATACAAAAAAAAAAGGCAAAAAACAGTCCCTGCCCTCAGGGAATTTACAATCTAATGGGGAAGACAACATGCAAACAATACACACACACACACACACACACACACACACACACACACAAGTGAGCAATATACAAGATAAGAAGGAAATAATTAAAAGAGGAAAGGCATTGGAAAGGCGTTGATGAAGTCTTCCTGTAAAAGCTGGGATTTTTGTTGGAACTTAAAGGAAGACAAAGGTCAGTAGTTGGAGTTGAGGAGGAGAGCTCCAGGTTGGATCTCAGGATTTGAGTAGTGAGCCAACACAAGATAGTTCTAGTCAAGCTACTGAGGGACTCACTTATCTGTGGGGGAGGGGAAGAGCCTTGAAGTCCTCCCTCTCTCCCCCTGCCAAACTGCCAGACTAGAAGATCTTTTACACTTTGAAATATGTGAAAAATTTGGACTTCTCATCAGTGTCTTAGTAGCATCTCCAGAAATAACAGTGGCTGACAGCAGTGTCTTCCAACACAGAAAGCCAAGGACAAACTAGGTACATTCAGGAAAAGCAACTACAGAGCCTTCCCAGGAGCCCAGTAGAAAGCTATGCAGTACTTAAGGGAAACATCATACGGACCCCATGCTGAGGGGAGGGGGAGGATAAAAAACTTCCAACCAAAGGCCTTCAAGAAGCTGTGAATTACCCATTTTGTTATGTCATATGTTCTAAGGTTGAGCACATTTTTCCCGGACTTTGTAGGTCCCCCTTGTGGGGGAATGTTACCCCTGCTCGAGGGAAGGGCCAAAAAGTGCTGTAGAAACTATTCTTACTATTCTTACTATCTACCCCGTGGTAAAAATCTTATTCCTAAAAGCCAATTAAGTCTATTTGGATAACTGATATTGGCTGATAATCCTTGGGGGATCCCCAACCAGTGGGGACTTTTGAGCTATAGAATTATAGAAAAGACCACCCCACAAACTCTTAGACTTGACCCTGAGCATACCAAGGGCAAATGGGGGAGCTACCCTGTGAGGACCTGGCTTGCCAGCATGAATCAGAATTGGGCAGTATATCCAAGTAGATACAAAGTCTAGACTATACAGGATCAAAAGCACTTGATCCTAATTGAAGTTACTTTCTGTTGCTTTGTGAATACTTTGTATTTACTTTACTCAATATCACATCCCTCAGTAGAATGTTTGCTCACTGACAGTCAAGACTTACTTCCTTTTTTTGCCCTTGTACTCATAATACCTAGAGCAATACCTAGCATGTAAAAAATTGGAACCAGGTCTATATTTTTATTAATACAAGGAACTACCAGGTAAGGCCACTCCCTTTACTAATGCAGGCTGGCACCTTCTCTGCAATTTTTAACCTTAGAGAACTATACATAAATGCCTTACTCTGAATCACACAGCCAGTAAGTATGTTTCAAGGACTGGACTGGAACAAAGGTCTTCCTGGCATCAGGGCCAGTTTTCTGTATGTTTAATAAAGGTTGAATCAAATTTTGATAATTATGAAATGAGTTCACTGGAGGCAAAGTACTTTAGAGGACAGAGATTTGGCCTTTGGGTCAAGAAGACCTATTTTCGAGTGCTACTTCTGACATACACTAGCAGTCTGAATATTGGTAAGTCACTGAAATTGTCAATGTCCCCTTGACATCCCTATAAAACTTATTTATAACTATCTTTTGAGTCATCAACAAGTCACTGATTTTCATTGATGGAAGTTTTTATACTGGAAATTCCTTGCAAACATTGAATCATGGGTCTGAGCAAAAATCAATTATGGAAGGCAGTTGTCAAATCTTGACACTGTCTGGAAATATTAGTCATTGTTATTATTTTTATTATTACTGCTCTTAGGGAAAAAATAAAGATATTAAATTGAAGAAAATGTCAGTAGAATTTATTCCTGCTCCAGGAAGAGCCACATTGGTTGCTGTATTGTGTTTCTCTCCCATTTGCTTGTTCAGCTGCCTAAAGGCTGCCAAATACAGGCTCACATTAGCTCCAAGTTAAGATAAGTAAGGCGCTCTTTCATCCTAATGAATTCACATGATCCCAGTGTGAACAACTGAATATTCTTCATTCAGATCAGCCATTAACCTGTTCCAAAATTTTGCTTCCTCTTGGGAAAGATCCCACTGCCAGTCCAATCACTAGGAAGATGTCAGTGATTTCATTCATATTCTAGCCATGCTTCAGGTGCATTAAAAGCATGAAATTCTTGGAAACGCAAACCACTGCCTTTCAGTTACAAGACCACACACTACACAGAGTTGAAGAGCTTCTCGGCTGGTACCTACATCCGCATTACATTGTCTTCTCTTCACTTCCCTCTCTCCCCAACCCAGGCCATCTGGCTGCCAACCTCCATCTCAGGTGAAGATGAAAGTCTTGTCTGGAGTTGAATATTGAGCCTAATTTCAAGGAATGTCTCATTCTGTTTGTCTCTAGGGCTCCATTGGACCACCAGGGGAAAAAGGACCACCAGTAAGTACAATGTGACTGAATAGTGGCTAGATTTCTATAGGGAATATGTTGGGGTGCTTGGTTGAGTATTGCTTCCATCAGTGTAGATTGCAATCCATATAGTCCTCATTTTATATGATCCTCTTCCAAGGCTTCCCATTGATCTCCCATGAGGATCCTTTCGATGTGCCAGTGACTGTGTTATGATTTTTTTAAAGTATTTTGACAGATACTATCAAAAGTTAACATCTTTGAATGTTCTCCTGGGTACCAGGAAAACATTAAAAGTTGACACCTATATGTGTATGAGAGTGTATGTATGCATGTGTATATGTGTGTGTGTGTGTACACACAAATATATATATACATATGCATGTACACATATTCATATATATGTGATAATTGCTAAGAATGAGTTGAAATCAAAGGAATTATTGGTGATAGGTTTATAGGGTTGAGTTTGGGAAAAGAATAAAGTTAATTTCGTCAGTGCCAGGTTAATGACCAGAGAAAGGACTGAAGTGTGGATAGACTGGAGATAACAATGAGAACAAATTATAGGTTTAAAAAGAAGGCTGAAACACAGAGGTAGAATGATGGGAGGTTATGGTCTGGTAGAATAATATTAGGACAAAGTAGCCTCATATTTCACATGAGATTCCACAGATTGATTAAACATTCACATATAAAATACTCATATATATCCATGAATATATACTATATGTATATATATACATACATGTGCATATATGTGCATGTATGTATGTATTGTGTAAGCATATGTATATGCATTCCCTAACATTTAGGAGATTTTTTTTTCTTTTTCTTTTACTCAGGGATCTCGAGGTTTACCCGGATTCCCAGGTCCACAAGGTCCAGCTGGACAAGATGTAAGTAAATAGAAAGTATGTGTTCTACAATCATGAATTTATAAACTATTAGATCTTCAAGAGACCACATGAACGTCAACTCATTCAATCCCTAATTATGGAAATTGTGGCTAAGAGAGCAGAAGTGACTCCTAAGGCCAGACAGTGAGCTAGCAGTAGAAATCAGACTCAGATGGGATTCTGTGACTCCCCAGTCAATGCTTTTTCTCACTACACCATTAGTATGCCTAATAAGTCTGTTATTAAATCAATCAACTAATCAATAAGCATCTATTAAGTACTTACTATGGACTATTATTCTAGGTGCTGGGAAAACAAAGTAAAAAATGAAATGGTCCTTGTCCTCAAAGAGTTTATAGTCTAATAGGGAAGACAAACATGCATATACATAGAAATATACGAAATAGATAATGTGACCTTTTAATAGAGACTACGCTAACAAAACAAGTGAGGATCAAGAAAGACCTCATGTAGAAAGGGGCACCTAATTTGAATCTTCAAGGAAACAAGGGATTCTGTCTCCTCAGTCATATCCCAGATGAGTCATCCTGAAATCAAAACCAAATACCTTCAGGGGGAACCTATTCTCCTTTCAAATGGCTCTACTTCTTAATACATTGAGCCAAAATCCCTTTATCTACACCTTGTCTTTATTGCTCCTGGTTCTACTTTTTGGTGTCCAACAACAACAACAACAACAAAGTGGAATCCCTCTTCCATATGGAAGCTCTTCATATCCCACCTGTTATTTTCTTTTATAGGCTTATTATCCCATTTTCTTCATTATGTATGGTGGCTCAGTGGATAGAGCATGCAAGGCTTGAGTTCAAATTCAACCTCATATTTACTAGCTTGTATGACTTGCTAGCTTCTTACTAGCTTAAGTGACAACTTGTTTAACATCTGTTATTCTCCGTTTTCCCATTTATAAAATGAGGATAATAGTAAAACTTTGCTCTTTGAGGTGTTGTGAGGATAAAATGAGTTAATACATTTAAAGTGCTTAGCTAGTTACTTGGAAAATACTAAGCATTATGTAAATGTTTGTTGCTGTCGTTCTTCACTATTATGGTAACCCTTATCTTAACAAACCACAATTTCTCAATTCCCTTCTAGCATTGTGGTGCCCAGAACTGACCACAACTCCAAATGTTATCTGCTAGGACAGAGTACAGGGGGGCTGTTACCTACTCATCATACCTGTAAAACATGCATTTTTGAGGCTATCATGTAATGTCATTGAATCATGTTCACCTTATAGTCCCCTAAAATGCTTAGATTCTTCTCACAAAAATTGTTATCTAGCTAAATTTCTATCATTTAAAAAAATTTTTATTAAGCCTATATAGAGAATTTTACATGTTGCCATAACTGAATTTTATATTCATAAGTTTAACCCATCATTCTAATCTTTTGAGATCCTAGTAGATCTTTACAATCACATAATCTGCTAGCTATCCCTCTCAGCATGGTTCCCATTAGAAATTGTCTTTTTCTTTTCCCAGCACATTTCCTAATTAATGACACATGTCAAGCCAGCTCCAGGAAGGGATACAATAAATGAATGCCCATTAGAGCACTTACCACCTACCAAGGCACCCCTCTTAATTCATTAATGGCTCTAAATTTTAGAAAAGTCATCTTGTGATAAAATCTGCTTTCCTATAACTTCTATCCATTGGTGCTAGCTTTGCCCTTCAGTGCCAAACAAGGTAAATCTCCTATATGAAATCCTTTCAAATAGCTGGATACCTCCCACCTCCACCCTGCTACGCATACTTAGCCTTCTCTTATTAAGGTTAAACGTCCTTGGTTCTGTTTGTCATTCTTTCTATGACATAGACTCCAGTCCTTTCACTGCCTCATTTACTCTTTTCTAGACACATTTCAGTTTGTCAATATTCTTCCTAAAATAAGGCTTTCACACGCAATAGTTCACAGTAAATCAAAGCTTTACAATCATACAATTATACAATTTAACAAAATGTGTAGCAGATAGGAGATCCCACTATGATTATTATTTTTGCTTATGTATATATATGTATATATGCATATATGTGTGTATTTATATATGCATATGTGTGTATATATATACATACATATGTGTATATACATATATATACACACATATGTATATATAAACTTTTTTTTGATAGAGCGAAACTCTACTTTAACTGGTTTCCCTCCAGTAAGGTGTCTCTCATGCATAATGCAAAAATTATATAAGATTTCTTGCAAAATGTAACAGAGGTAATTATGTTTGATAACAATGTTTGATAACTAGTCATTAGTATCAAGCAAGATGTAAAATAGGGAGTCATGCTTAAAAGATGTTTATCACTGACATGGAAGAGATTCAACATAGAATCCAAGTATAAGAGACAATCACTCTAGGTGGCAAGGCTTTCCAGGTACCCTTGTTCCAGGTGCCCACCATGCAGCTGTCATTGTTCTGATTGGATCATGGCCCAGAACACTGCAGAACATCCTACATGAGATTCAAAATCCCTCAACACAGTTTGGTCTTACTGGAAAGATAAGACACAGGAAAAACAAGCAGACAAAGAATGCCTGTTGCCCAAACTGTGGTATATAGATGGATGGATGGCTTCTAGAACTCTAAGTTAGATAGAGAGATAGATGATAGATAGATAGATAGACAGATGTAGATATATTAATTATACATATATAGATACACACATTATGTGTGTGTGTTTGTTTATGTGTGTGTGTGTATAGTATACACATATACAGGGGGGAGCTAAGTGGTGTTATAGATAGATCACTGGATTTGGAATCAGACTCATCTTCATGAGTTCAAATCCAGCCTCTGATAATTACTGGCTGTGTGATCCTAGGAGTCACTTCACCTTGTTTGCCTCAGTTCCTCATTTGTAAAATGAACTGGAGAAGGAAATGGCAAAACACTCCAGTATATTTGCCCAGAAAACTGCAAAAAGAGGTTACGGAGAGTCTAACACAACTGAAATGACTCATCAACAACTACATGCATATATATATTATACACACAAATATATATATATATGTATATATATATATATATATACACACACACACATTGGGTATGTGTACATATGTGTGTATATATATATGTATATGCGCACACACACACACACACACACATATATATACACATACATTATATAGTGGCATTATGGATGAAAATGCACACATATTATATATACATGTATGAATATAAATATAAATATATATCTATACACACATATGCATATACACATATATACATATATGTGACAGAGGCTGAATATGGACAGTGAGCTTCCTGAAGTCACTATATGACCTTTGGGAAATTAAAGGGTTTTTGTTTGTTTGTTTGTTTTCTTTTGTATTGTTTTTTTTAATGATGTCAAGCCTCTCATTGCAACAAAGGCAGATCTTTTTTAATGACAAAATTCTTCCAGTGATGTTGTATAATTGTTTGCAAGTCATGGAATATTATAGTGTCCAAAGAAATTAAATTTGAGGATGACCCATGGGACAATGAAGAGTTAGCTGCATGATTGATGTCATCATGCTATAAAACATTAGAAACAAGGAATTATTAATTCCTTTATGAATTATGAAGAATAAGAAAAAAGTATACAATCAAAGAAATACATATCTAAAAATATGGACTGACCATGTAGAGACAACCAGTGGACACTCTGGTTAACTTCATGATCTCAAGAGAAATTAAGGAAGCACTACATATATTGGATGGACCCTCACTGTGAATTTATGGGAGATCATGGGCAACAGTCAAACAGGATAAATGGGGATGGATGGACTATGATTTCCATAGAGAAAATATTCACATGTAAGAAATCGCATATGCATTGGAGTCTCAATTTTGCTGACTCACAAAGATCTCAAGTTCTTTTTTTGAACAAACTATTCTTGAGGCACAACACTGATTTTTTTTAATAATCCAAGAATACTCCTTTTCTTTGATCTACTGAAATTCATCCCATCATTGCCGTTTAACATTCTACTTCATTCACTTCTTTTTGAATCTTCATTCCTCCTGTGAATTAGAAATTCCTTCTTGTGTCATCTACAATTTTGTAAACAAGCCATATATGCTATTATTGTAGTCATTGATAAAAATGTTAAAAAAAATCAGAATCAAGCAGAGACCCCTTAGGCACTTAACTAGAAAGTAGATGTATAGCCTGAACCTGTAAATTTCATTGGTATGGGGGAACTCCCAGGTGAGGATACTCCTATCAATTCCAGTAAACACCTTCTCTGTATATACCTTAGTCTTAGAAAGTTGCCTTGAGTGCTGAGAAGTTAAATGACTTGCTCAGGGTCAAACAGCTAGTTCATGTCCTGGGTTGACCTTGAACCTGGTTTTAAGGCCAGCTCCGCAAACTCTCCATCCATAATGCCACAATGCCTCTCATTCGACTAGAGACTTCCATCACATTTGACAACAGTCCAGGAATGAGTACTCTTTGGATCAAGTCATTCAGCTAGTTCCAAATGCATTGAATTGTACTTCTATGCAACCTATTTCTGTCTTTTCCAGAGACATCACCGAAGAGACTTTATTAAATACTTTGTCAAAATCTCAGTAAATTCCTCTGCTTCCTCCAATAACTCATTTGAGCTTGAAGCTAACTGGGCTTCTGATGACTATAACAGAAGTAGAAATCTCTGATGGGTTCTAGCAAGTAGTAAAGTAATTAATTAACTAACTGCCAAGATTCTTACATCAGGCAAAAGTGGAGAATTATATAGGGACAGTAGGGACTTGTGTTTTCCTAGTCCAGAAACTATTTATTTGAACAGGAAAAAAAAGTGAATGATTGTGTATTGACCTAAAGACCATGCTTTCTCACATTCTACTGGCCTCCATATCCCCCTTAACAACCATCAAACCCAGATGTTTCTATACTGTCAAAGGCAATGAACATATTTATAAGGGACCTCTGAGGTCTTCTAATCCAACTCCCACTGGAAGCATGAATCCTGTCTACAGTGTCAATAATGTCCTTGGCAAGTAGGCATTGGTTCTATATCTGAAAACCTCCAATGAGACAGGGATCTCATCTCACCATGTAACCATTAATTTCATTTTTAGATGGTTCTATATTTTGTGGAAATTTGCCCTCATATTTAAGCGAATTCTACTTTCCTGTAATTTATTGGTTATTGTCCCTAAGGGTCAGATGGACTATGTTTCTAACCCCTCTATACACACTTATTCTGCACTAGACACTTCCAACATAAAGAATAACACATTAACATATCAATTTATATTTATAAGAAACATCTATAGACATATCACTGGGTCTTCACAGTATACCTATGAGGCAAAGAAGGATTATTACCTACACTTTAAAGATGAGAATAGTGAGGCTCACAGTGTTTAAATAGTTTGCCCCAGGTCACACATCTAATAAAAGTTGATGCTAGGGCATGCAGTCAGGTCTTCTGAGTGCCCTTGTCACTGTTTCTCATTAATAAAGATTCCCATCTTTCCTATGGATAACTTTTGCAAGGGTCATGGGAAGAAGAAAATGTCAAAACACAAGAATGGCCTGTGTGTAGCCAGTATAACAAGATCTTTGTTTATTTCTTTTGTAGGGCCTACCCGGAAATCCAGGAGAAAGAGGACCACCAGGAAAACCAGTAATTTGTCTTACTCTTTGATTTTTTTAAAGCCCCAACTGATCTTGTTTTCTTCATTTATAGTAGTGCCATCAAAAAACCCTTCACATGAGAAGTTGTTATGGCCTCAGTTCTCACAATACTAGCTTGAGACTAGCTTGAGACATCAGAATTTTGGCTTATGAGTGCCTGTAACCATTCATCCATCATCGTTACCATCATCATCATCGTCATGGTTATCATCATCATTTGTGTTTCCGTAATGATTTTAAGGTTTACTAACCACTTTCCTCACAATAATTCTAAGAGAGAGGCAGCACAAGAATGATTTCCCCCATTTTTCATGTAAGAAAATAGGCTTAGAAAGGCAGTGTCTAGCTGTTTAAATGATTAAATAGAGATTCAAACTCAGGTCTCCTAACTCCTAACTCATTCCACTATACTATTTACATTTCTGATAGAGCATTGGCGTAGTGATCATTCCCTCTGTCTTTCATCTTTAATATTGTCCTACCTACTGGCTTTTTCTGTTACATAAAAATATACTTAGATCTACTTCTATCCTTAAAAAAACATTTTATTTGATCATACTATCCCTACCAACTTTTGTCCTGTTTCGCTAAGTCTTTTCAATGGCAAACTTTTAGAAAGAATCATATGCATTGTCTTCCTCTTTTTCCTTATCATCCATATACTCCTAGATCTTTGCAGTCTGGTTCTCAATTTCACAAATTTATCAAAATCCACCTCCTTTCTCCACCAAACCCCATTCTTTCTAAGATTAAAAATAAACTGAATTGTTAAATAATATTTCCCCCTCAATCTTCATTCTCTTTAAATTCTTTATAATTTTCAATACTGTTGACTTCTCCTTCCTCATGGACTTTCTTTTCTCCCTTGTGTTCTATGACTCTTCTGTCCTGCTTGTCCTACTAGTGGTTCAGCCACTTTGCTGCATTAAAGTCCATCTCCTGCCCCCTTAGTGTAGTTGCCTCTAAAAGCCCTGTACTGGGCCATCTTCTCTTCTCTTCTCTTCTCTTCTCTTCTCTTCTCTTCTCTTCTCTTCTCTTCTCTTCTCTTCTCTTCTCTTCTCTTCTCTTCTCTTCTCTTCTCTCTCTTTCTTCTTCTCCTTTCTCCTCTTCTCTCTCTTCTCTTTCTCTTTCTCTCTCTCTCTCTTCTCTCTCCTCTCCTCCTCTTCTCTTCTCTCTTCTTCTCTCTCTCTCTTCTCTCTCTTCTCTCTCTTCTCCTCTCTTCTCTCTCTTCTCCTCTCTCTCCTCTCTTCTCCTCTCTCTCTCCTTCTCCTCTCTCTCCTCTCCTCTCTCTCCTCTCCTCTCCTCTCCTCTCCTCTCCTCTCCTCTCCTCTCCTCTCCTCTCCTCTCCTCTCCTCTCCTCTCCTCTCTTCCTTTTCCTTCCCTTCCCTTCTCTCCTCTCCTCTTTCCTTTCCTTTCCTCTTTCCTACATTCTCTCTCTTGTTGATCTTTTCTGCTTCCATGAGTTCAAGTACCATTTTTATAAAGATGACTCCTAAAGCCACATAAGTAGCCCTTGTCTCTTCCCTGAATGCCAGTCCTGCTTTGTCAACTGTCTGCTGGACATCTCTTTTGGGAGATCACTTAAGCATCTCAAATTCAATATATCTAAAGGAAGCTCCTCATCTTTACCCCTAAAACAACTCATTCTCCAAATTTCCCTCTTTTTATTGAGAGCTCCATCAGCTTCACAATCACTTAGATTCATAATTTCAAAGTCATGCATCACCCTCCTTTAGCCCTCACACTCCCACGTATCTGTTTCATTGCTAAGTCATACTGGTTCTACCTCAACACACTTTCAGGCCACAACCCTTTTTTCAGGCTCTCATGGCCTGACATGTAATAGCTTCCTATTCAATCTCCTTGCTTCCAATCGCCTCCTTTCCAATCCATCCAGAAAAATCGCAAAAATAATGTTCTTAAAGCCCAGGTCTAACCATATCACTCCTTGGCTCAAGATCTTTATCTCAGTTTTTTCTATAGGATAAAATACAGATTCCTCAAGATGACTTTTAAATCCCTTTAAGACGTGTATTTTAATCTTCCATTAAACACCTTCTACAGTGGCTTATGGGGGCACAGTGGAGTCAAGAAGATGTGATTTGAAATACTGCCTCAGATATATACTGGCTGTGTATGTATTCAAACTCTACTGCAGAGAGTACAACTACAATGGGCTGGCCACGTTGTTTGAATGCCAAACATACACTTGCCTAAAAGACTATTTTATGGAGAACTCAAATAGGGTAAGCACTCACATGGTTGTCGGAAGAAGCAAAACACGGACACTCTCAAGGTCTCTCTTAGGAACTTTGGAATTGATTGTGTGACATGGGAGACCCTGGCACAGGACTACCCAACATGGCATGCCCTCATCAGAGAAGGGGCTGTGCTTTATGAGCAAAGCAGAATTGAAGTAGCTCAAAAGAAATGTGAGATGTGCAAGTTTAGAGAACCCACTCCAGATGTTCACTTGGACTATTTGTGTCTGACCTATGGCAGAGCATTCCAAGCTCACATTGGTCTGCTCAGCCACGGTTGGACATATTATAACTTGACTCTAATGTAGTGATGTCCTTTTGGTTCTCTTTGAGAACAAAAGATAGCCAACCAAACTATTGTTATTGTTGTTGTTGTTGTTGTCGTTGTTATTATTATTGAAATATGGAGGTTACACCAGGTTTTCAGATGCCATTTCAATTAAGCACATGTTCTGGTGGGTCTTACCAAGCTATTTGTCATTGAGTAATGACCAGCCACAGAGTGCATATTTTCTGTGTACCAAACTAGCTAAGCTTGGAGAAGTTCTTTGTCAGAAGGTAAACAACCAGAGGCTTTTTTTTTAACATTAAAAAATATATATTTTTAGGGGCAGGTAGATGATGCAGTGGATAAAGCTCCAGCCTTGGAGTCAGGAGGGCCTGAGTTCAAATATGGCTTCAGATACTTGACGCTTACTGGCTATGTGACCTTGGGAAAGTCACTTAACCCAGATTGCCTCACCCCAAACAATATTTTTAAACAACTCAAGAAGGCTGTGTGAAAGGTGTGAATGGGATAGTGATCTGGAGAATGGCTGTATCCATGAAGTCACAAATCTTTGGGCAATATTAAAGGATAGATTTTAACGTATCTGCCCTCTTTCAAACTTTTGATGATTCATTTTTTTTTTTTTATAATTGCCACTAGTCTTTATCTGGGGTTCTTAGTTCCTTTTATTTCAAGTTCTCCCTATCATAGACCACAAGTCCTTCTTGTCATTAGTCTATCACAATAGAGATTTGGCATTTTCAAAAAGAACTTGTGCCTTTCCCTAAGAAAGATGAAGTTAGATGCTAAGGAACAAAACTATGCTTTTATGAATTTTACTGTTTTCAATTTCCTAATTTACATTGGAAATGATTTCTTCATGGTTATAGTAATTTTTGTTTTTTAACCTAATTATGTTTAGTCAGATTAAAAGAAGGATTTCTTGAGCAAGAGTAGGCATATCTGGCTGTCCCAGAGGCCAAGTGGTGATTGGTGTCAGTAAAGACTAAAGAGTTGCCTGCAAAACAGATATTAAGGACAGCCCTAGTAGAGAGAAGGAAACCTTCCCCAAAAAGATTAGTTTTACGCTCTGACTTATTAAATGACTAGGTGAATGAATGAATGAATGAATGAATGAATGAATGAATGGACATATACTTAAATGCCTTTTGAATAACCATGCCCCATATACCCAACTCCATATCCTTCCAGACCCACCCCTCCCTTCATTGACTGGGACAACCCTTCTGGAGAATGAGCCAACCAGCATTGCCATTACCAGCACTAGCTGCTAAACAATTGTTATCTTTCTTTCAAACTGGGCTATTTCTTTCTGTCTGACTTACATGAAATCTACCTCCCACTTGCTTACTGTTGTTTGAAATGCCTTTAACCAAGAGAAAGCCATTGAAGAAGAGATACTTTGATGTACTTGTGATGTCATCCATTTCAGTACTTCCTCCATGGATGTAGGTACATAACCACTCCATGTCTTGTATCTTTTATCATACTAGTCCGTGTCTCTCCATAAATCCTTGGCTATAGAGGATTTTTACAGAGCACCTGAAAAATAAGAGGCTTAAAATGCAAAGCCCTCTGGGAGAGAGCACAGTGACTTTATATTTACTCTGAAGGGTTCATGACTGATATCAGCATAATGTACTCAAAAGAGCACAAGCTTGAAGATTACAGAATTTCAGAGTTAGAAGAAACTTTGGTGGTCGTTTAGTCCAACCTAGATTTGGGGGAAAATACCTTTTCCCCTATAAAATACCTTTTCAAATAGTCATCAGGAATTTTCTTAGGGGCATCCATCTTCCAAGGCAACACATTCTATTACTGTATAACTCTAATTATTAGAAAGATTTCCCCAACATGGAATCTAATTTTTCTCTTTGCTGTAAAGTCTATCCATTTGGGTCGATTATAACAAGTCTAATCTTTCATCCCCAAGAAAACTTCAATTACTCACTCTCTCTCCACCATCCTCCACCAAATCTTTTAGGATGGAATCTATAAACTCACCCCCACTTAATACCATTCTGAACTTTAGGAAAAGTATTCAATATCTCTGAGTCTCAGGCCCTGATCTATAAAATGAGAACTGGACATAACTTATAAGCTCACTTTCATTTCTAGATCCTATGAGAACAGGTCATTTTGACCTTTTGTGAGAGGAGACAGACAATTAGGACAGCAGGGGGTGGAGTGCTAGATTTAGACTCACGAAGACCTGGGTACAAAACCTCCATCAGACAGTTGCTAGCTATATAACCCTAGACAAGTCACTTAATCTCTCAAGTCACTGTTTCCTCATCTATAAAATGGGACTGATGATATCACCTACATCACAGACTTGTTTTGAGGATGAATTATAAGGTAAGATGTAAAACACTTTGTAAACCTTAAAATGTCATAAAAATATTAGCTATTATTTTAGAAGGTCTTGTTGGGGAAAAGGATGAAAGTAGACAGGATAAAGGGGTCTATAGAGATGAACTTAGGAACTGGCTTTCCGTTGGCCTCACCTTTTGCTCAGATTCAGCTTTGCCTATATATTGATTCATTTCTATCTTAGTAATTCATGTTTTGTGTTCTCTGAGTAGGACTTCCTACACTTGGTACAGCCTGTGTAAGGACTATACTTTTTACTCTTGAGGAAATGTAAACTATAATCAGGTTCTTGTGTGTCCCTACATGAGTCCCCCCAACCTTTTTTTTTTTAAAATAAAACCATCTTCCTTTTGCAAATATCTAATTGTAGCTCTTTCTTTCGGCAGGGTCCCTCTCCTCTTCTATCTCCAGAGGATCTCAACCTCTTAGTGAAGGTAAGAGCCTTTTTCATATTGCTCAGTTTAATTGATTAAAATTTAATAAACATTTATGTTTATTATTTGTGTGTGCAGGGCACTATAGTAAGTGCCAATGAAGACACCAAGTTTAAATAAGGTAGTTCCTACCTTCATGGAGCTTGCAGTCTTAAAGGGGATGTAGAATTTATATGTAGATACTGATAATATAAGGAAATAAGTGACATGTTTATTAAAGGAGTACAAAACAAAGCACTGTGCTATGTCTATCAGAGAAAATGATGATTATAGGCTGAGCAGAAGGCTTTTTTTGGGAGAAATGGAATTTATGTTGGATTTCAAAGGATAAATGTGAATTCAAGAGGCAGCAAAGGTGATGGAGAACATTCTGGGTTTAAAATACTGCTTTTTCAAACCACAGAGAATAGTCCAGTTTGACTAGAGGATAGAGGACTGTGGAAAGGAGAAGTTTGAGGTAAGTTTGGAAAAGCAAGGTGATTAGAAATTGTAGAAGGCCTTTAATGCTAGAGAATTTTGATTTTGTTTCAGTAGGCCATAGGGAGCCATGGAATGATTTTGAGCAGAAGAATGACATGAAGATCTAAATATAAAGAAGATTAGTATGATATCAGTAAGAAAGATAGATTTCAGTGGAGGAAGATAATGAGGGAAGAAGGCCTAACAGGAAACTGTTACATCAGGGAGATAGGTTTAAATGATAATATGAACAAGGATATTCAAAGGTACTACAGAGGAAGGGCAAAAGGAAATATTGTAGAATGCGTATTCCCTCATATATGTGTGTGTGTGTGTGTGTGTGTGTGTGTGTGTGTGTGTGTGTGTATACGTGTATAATCACTTTGTGTGCATATATATATATATGTATATATATATGGATACATACACATATAATCACTTTGCATATATATCACTTTATATAAATGCTAGCTTATACAAATAATGTTACAACCACTATTAAAGATGGTAAATAGAATGATTATAACACCCTAAATGGGGTGTGATTAGTGGAGAATATAGCAGAATCTCACTTCCCTTGCCCTCAGTAATTTTTTGTGTTTTGACGTATGTTATCCTTCTCGTAAGACATGAGAAATAATTCCACTCTCTTAATCTGTGACTACACATGGATTGTTCCATAAAATATATTTATGGCATATACAGATTTTCATGTTTTTACTTTGCTCAAAATCTTATTTGGGCTTTAGGACAAGCCACATAATAAATGTGCTTCTTACCACATGCTCTCCTACAGAATCATTTCTGATGTCCAAAAGAAAGCCTTTGGGTAACATTTAAAAATGCCTCATGAATGCTAAAAACCCCACACTCTAATTTTTAGTCTTCCTACACATCAGGGTCTCCTGATAGATAATTATCTATTTTGTGGGGAAATATGTCTTAGCACAAGCCTTACTCATTTTTATTGGCAAGCTTGAGTTTTTTTACTTTTTCAGACATGGCAAGAAATCATTAGGAATTGATTCAATCTTTAATTTATTAGCTGTTTTTATTAGCACTAAACATTTCTCATCATGTGGTCCATTTAAAGATGAAGGATTTAGAGTCAAAGAATCACAGAATTTTCAAGTTAGAAGTGATTTCAGTGCACATGCAGTTCATCCCATCCAGTCTCCAGAAAGAATCCCCCTCAACAAGAGGCCATTTTGCCTCTGTTTGAAGATCTTATATCTGGAAAACATACTCTACGCCCAAAGGAATCTATTCCACCATTGGATACCTTTCATTGTTAGGAAGTATAGTAATGTGGTTTTTTTTCCCTGAAATCAACTGTTTTTCTTGTTTGTAGCTTCCACCCATTGTTCCTAGTACAAACAGAAGAAGTCTGAACAGCCTTTTCTACTTGTCAGCTTTTCAAGTCCTTGGAGGCAGTTATCATGCCTCCAACTCCCTAAATTTTCTGTTCTCCATGGTAAACATCCCCAAATCCTTCAGTCCATCCCCAGATACCATAAATATATGTTACTTTCAGCTCAGAATTCGACTTTCCCTCCTCTGGATGCCCTCCAAGTTTCAATGTCCTTTCTAAATCGTGGTGCCTAGTATTGGGCTACCAGTTAAGAAATACTGGCAAAAAAAAAAGGAAATAAAGTAACTATGGAATGATATTTTCTTTTAATTTTTTTATTTTGTTAAAGTTTCCAATTACATTTATTTAAATTTAAATTTAAAATTCATTTAAAAAATCGAGTTCCAAATTATCTCCCTCCATCCTGCCCTTCTCACCCCTAAAGAGGCAATATGCTATTGATTATACATATCAAATCATGCAAAATAGATTTCCATATTAACCATGTTGCAAAAGAAACAAACACACAAAAAAAACAAGAAAAATAACGTAAAAAAGCATGCTTCAGTTTGCACTCAGTTCATCAGTTTTCTTTCTGGAGGTGGATAGTATTTTTCATCATGGATCCTTTGGAATTGCATGATCTTGTCTTAATTAAATTAAGCCATCCTATGTATTCTCTGAACATCCATTTAACAATGTTTTAGAAATCTGACAGCTGTTTAAAGTCACTAGTCTATAATTCACAGGTTTCATTATCTTGTCTTTTTGGGGAAGAGGGATTTGGTAGTGGTTGTATAAATAATGGGCAGTTGCAAAAGATGCTATTTAAGTAAAAATGGCAAGGTTTGGCAACTGATGGAATATATGTGGAAAGGAATAATGAAAAGTACACAATAATGTGGAGGTTGCTAACCTGGAGCACTGTAAGAATGGTGATACCTTTGGTAGAAATAGGAAAGTTTGAAAGAAAGATGATGAATTCTGTTTTGTTCGTGGTGAGTTTAAGATAAATATAAATCGTCATTTTGAAATGTTCAGTAGGTATTAGGTAGTTGAAATTTCCAAAATGTAGTTGGGATTAGAACTCAGGAGAGAGACTAGGATTAGATATGTAGATCTGGCAATCATCTTCATAGAGGTGACAATTAAGTTAACAAGGAAAAGTGTGTCGAGAAAGAAGAAAATGCTCAAGATAAATCCTGAGAATGTACATAGAGTTAGGAGGTGTGATATAGATGATGATCTAGAAAAAAGAGATTGAGAAGGAGCGGTCAAGTATCCTAGGCAAGAAAATGGTCTGCATTGTCAAATGCTGCAAAGAGGTGAAGAAAAGAATGAAGACTGAGAAAATTTTATTTGATCTGGCACCCAGGAGAGCGTTGGTGACTTTGGAGAAAGCAGGTTTGGTTGAGCGATGAGCTCAAAAGACGTATGGCAAAGGGTTAAGAAATGAATGAGAGGAGAGGAAATAGAGATGCTTTTTCTAGGAGTTTGGATATGAATGGAAGGAGAGAGAGAGGACAAAACTTGAAAAGACAGTAGGGTCTAGTGAAGCTTTAAAAATATCATTACAGATGGATTTGTTTTAATAGCAGAGAAGAAACCAAAAGGTAGGGAGATATTAAAGATTGGAGAGAAAGAAGGGATTATTGAAGGAGCAGATTTCTGGGAGAGACAGAAATGGATGGTATCAAGAGTGAACATAAAGGAAGAAAATGGGAGAGGGTTGATGTCAAGGGTTTTTTGAGATAAAGAGAAGGGAGAGAGAAGGAACTTGTAATGGTTCTTTTTATTTTCTTAGTAAAATATGATTCGAGATCCTTAGCTGACAGTGTGGAGTAAAGGAATCTATATGGGAATTTTGAGGAGAGAAGAGGTTTGGAATAGTCTGTCTGGGGGAATATGGTAGTGAATCAATTAAGGAGGAGTTAAAAAGATTGCCAATGAGGACCCAATTGGGTTTACATAACAGAAATGTGTAGTCTGGCCAATTACCTTACTTGAAAGACATTTTCCATTCTGCCCAATAGCACAGGAATAGGAACAGAGGAAGAAGATGGTGAGAGTAATCTAGTTTTGGGGATTAACAAAGCACAAATGTGAATAGGACAAAGGAGCAGAAGGTCAAAGAAGAGAGGAAAGTGTGGAGCTGAAACAGTTACCTATAAGGTTGAGATTAAGAAGGCAGAAAAGTGAACTCAGAACAGAGGTGATGGCCTGAAGAAGTACTTGGAAGTAAAGGGATTGCAAGTCATTATGAAGATGAAAAATAGGTATAAGTAGGGTGAAGCATAGGGAAAGGTGGTACGTCACTCATGAGTGACAGAGAGATATAGAATGTAACCATCCCTACATGTGACAAATGAAGGGAGGAGCTGACTATAGTATTTGAGGAAATCAAGAAATTGAGATATTAGAGTGTTTGAGAAGAAACATCAACATGCATATTCAAAGTCTCCTAGTAAAAGACAAGGAATTGAGGAGGAAAAATAATGTTGACATCTAGCAACAAATGACATGAAGTAGATGATCTTGATTGGGTGTTAAATTTGGATAAATCAAACCTTAAAGAAGTTGATGAATGATTGGCAAGGGAGAGTCTGGAAGTGGCAGTGAGTAGCAAGGAGTATTCCAACTCCCCTTCCAAGACCAGTGTCTCAGGAAGTTTGGAGGCAATCACATCTGGTTGAAACTCAGAAGATGGAAGAATGATGAGAGGAATAAGTTAAAAATGAAAGGAAGTTGATTAAATGTTAAGAATTCCAGAGGGCCCAATGAAAATGTCAAGCAGGGTTGTAGTGGGACATGGAGAGACAGTAGGGCTGGAGAAGAAAGGGAGGAAAGAATGGGAAGCAGGTAATAGGAAGGGAGGTGGTTTATACTTAGGCAAATGATGATTAAGTGACACAGAGAGATTGCTGGTAACTTTGGAGAGAGCAGTATCAGTTGAGTCTTAAGCTCAGAAGCCAGTGTTTCTAGTTCTGCTTTCTTTAGTTAAATAGAACATATATAATCCCTTTTCTACCTCACATTTAAAGGTAGCTATTATTAAGTTACATAATTTAAGGGTAAAACAAACTGTATTAGATGTAGGATGTGCACACAAGAAACTTACAATTTAATTGGGGCAGGCAATGGACCTATATGCCAGATCCTCACTTTCTCTGTTATTGGCAGCCCCAAAAGAATAGAGAATGGGGTCAGAATCTGTGGTCTAGGATCCATCTATCAGTGACCTTCTGACACAAAACCTCCATAACCCAAATTTTCAACCAACTTTGGTCAGCTTTACAGAATGGACTAACTGGCACAGAAGACTTCCCTAGGGATACACAGGAGACCAAAAATAGACTCAAGGAAAGCCATCCAGGAACACCAGTCTCCCAGAAGTACACAACTCCTTCATGAACAGATCTTGTGTAGTCCTCATGTCTTTCCATGATAATCAACTTTGCTCTGACAGTATAATCAATTACTCTTTGATAAGCACCCACCCAAGAGGTCTTCCTTTATATAACACTACTAAGCATATGTGTATGTTTATAAATACATATATATTTGTTGTCTTTTATTTTTGAACAAATCTCACAATTTATTTCTTAACTGAAAAAAAAAAGTATGCATCTTGAGGGCAAGGACTATATTTTATCCAAGCAATTAATATAGTGACTAGCACTTTTGTTTAATTGTTTGTCTGGACCTGTGATCTCTCCACTGTTCAAGATCTACAACTTATCCACAACTTACCGTCATAGAAAGTTGTCTGGAGATGTAGAAAGGTTCAAGATAATGCATCTGATATGTATGAGAGTCAAGTTGTGAACTCAGGGTTTCCTGCCTGTCATACTTCTTTTAGAAGGACAAAATTAACACTTAATCATGTTAGGCACTCATCATTCCTTTCTGTTAATCTCTGGCAAAGGATGAAAATGGGAAAAGACATATCTCAACCATGCTTGTAGTATATTTCGCATAACTTTAATAGGGAAATATTTCTTTTTTTAAATTGTTCATGATAGTTATTTATTTTTACTTCAGGCTGCTATTAATTTGTAAGTTCCATGAGAAAAAGGGCTATTTTTTAAATTAATCTTTGTATTTCAGCCAGTGCTCAGGATGGTGCCTTACACAGAGTAGACATGAGTAATATTTGTAGACTAAATAAGTTTTAACAATATTTGTGATGTCTCTTCTTTTTAGGATGTGTGCAATGACTGTCCACCTGGTCCTCCAGGACTTCCTGGCCTTCCAGGGCTGAAGGGTGATAAGGGCCTCCAAGGAAAACCTGGAAGAGATGGTGCAGATGGAAAAAAGGTTAAAATAATATGGAAAATAATGGGGAAAGAGTAGAGGCAAGATGGCAGAATAGAGGCAGCAACCCAGTCAAACATTCCTAACATTCCCCTCTAAACATCTATGAAAATAATGCATCAAATCCAGTTTTGGAGTGAAATAGCCATCAAAAAGTCAGAGTAAGACATTTTTCCAACCCAAAACAACTTAGAAAGTAAGCAGGAGAGATCTGTGACATCTGGGTTAGGGACAGCTTGGAGGGTACATGGTGGCAACACCAACAGTGGGCCTTGGAGGTGGCTGCAATGGCAGCAGCAGCTTCAGTAGTGCTCAGCCCAGGCACGGTAAGGGGATTGGATAGCTGGTCAGAAAGAGATTCCAGAGGACCCCGAGCTGACATTGGGTATAGGACTAGACACTGGCAACTCCATTGCCCATTCACAGTTCTGGCTCACTGTTCCAGGGCATAGAAGAGCACTAGCATTTGTGGCTGCAGGGGAACAGGGCAAGTGATCACAATTCAAGGTCAGAGAGGAGCACTAATGCTTGTGGCTACAGGGGAGCAGGGGTTCATCCTGGGTAAAGATAAGAGCGTAGACCAGAAAAAACAAAAATGATGATGCATCTCCCAGAATAGCACCACCTTGGAAACACTAAAAACTTACAGATATCCAGATCTAGCTCTGAAAACAGCAGTATGAAAAATCCTGAAGCTTGGGATAGTACCTTCCCACCCCCACCCTCAAGTGAAAAGAGTCCACCTTTAACATAAAGTTCAAAGTCAAGAAATAGTCTGGAAAAACAAACAACAAAAAAGGAACCTGACCATAAAAATCTATTATGGTATGGAAGGAGTCAGTGTTACTCTAACCATCCCATGGTTAAAGAAATTGGGGATGTTTAGTTAGCTGGGATATGACTGTCGCTGTTATAAAGGAGATCATATTCATTTTGCTTAGTCCCAAAAGGCATAACTATGAGAAGTGGACAGAAGTTTCAGAGAGGTAAATTTAAGCTTGGTGCAAGAAAACCCCTCCCAATCCCAAGAATTAGCAGAATTAAAAAGTGGAATGGGCTGCCCTTGATCATAGTAGATTGTCTTTCGCTGGAGTGCCTCTGAAGACTAGATGGCCATGTATTAGGGATGATGTAGAAGGATTCTTGTCCAGGTGGAGGTTGAACTAGATGGCCTTGAAGGTCCCTTCCAATTCTTGAGATCCTGTGATGTTATAAAACTTCATTCTGGGAGAATCAGAAACACAATGAATGAAAAAGCATAAAGACACTGAAATCTCTTTTAATATTTTTTTCAATTATATGTAAAATTTTTCAACATTCATTATTTTTTAAATTTTGAGTCCCAAATTATCTCCCTCCCTCCCATCCCTTACCCCTCATTGAGAAAGCAAGCAATTTGATATAGGTTATACATGTATAGTCATGCAAAAGGTATTTCCATATTTATCATGTTGTGAAAGAAAACACAGACCAAAATAAAAACAAGAAAAAATAAAGTAAAAATTAGTATGCTTCAATCTGCATTCAGATTTCATCAGTTCTTTCTCTGGAGGTAGATAACATTTTTCATCATAAGTCCTTTGGAACTGCTTTGTATCTTTGTATTGCTGACAATAGCTAAGGCATTTAGAATAATCGTTACACAATATCACTGTTACTGTGATCAGTGTTCTCCTGGTTCTGTTCACTTCACTTTGCATCAGTTCACGTAAGTCATTGCAGGATTTTCTGAAAGCATCCTGCTCATCATTTCTTATAGTATAATAGTATGCCATCACAATCATATATCACAACTTGTTCAGCCATTCTCCAATTGATGTGCATCTCTTCAATTTCCACTTCTTTGCCACCACACACACACAAAAAGGCTTTTATAAATATTTTTGTATGTATAGGTCCTTTTCCTTTTTTTAATCTCTTGGGATACAGACTTAGTAGTGGTATTAATGAATCAAAAGATATGTACAGCTTTTTAGCCCTTTGGGAATAGTTCCAAATTATTCTCTAGAAAGATTGGATCGGTTCACAACTCCACCAACAGTGAGTTAGTATCCCAATTTTCCCACATCCCCTCTAGCATTTATCATTTTCCTTTTCTTTCATATTAGTCAATCTGATAGTTGTCAGGTAGTATGGAAAGGGACATTAGAAGACATCTACTATGAACTCCACTCAAGAAAAGAATCCTTATAGCTTTCTGTTCAAATGGTCATCCAGTCTCAACTACTTCTAGTGACAAGAAGTTCACTACCTTACAAGGCAAACCATTCCAGTTTGGAATAGCTCTCATTGTTAGAAAATCTTCCTTTTTTTGGATCATAATTCAAGTTATCCTTTTTTTTAAGTAAATAAGGTTATGTTTCTTTAAAAATACCATAAGATTCAAATTGTTCAGAAAAATATATGCTGTGACTATTATAGAGAATTCCCAGTGAGGAAACTCCCGCAAGTCATGCAGCTCAGCACCTCAGCACCTCAACACCTCAACACCTCCTCTACAACGTCTAGTTTTAAAGACTGGTATGGTTAGAAAGTAAAGTAATTTGCCCAAACGCACAGCCAGTAAATAACAAATCAAAGTGGGAATTGAAAATGGGTCTTCTTGACTCTAAATCAACTCTTGTTCCACTACAGAACACTGACTCTCAACGATTCATATGCTTTCCTTTTAATAACATAAATAATAATAACCATTTGGATATATACATACACATGTGCACATTTAAAATATGACAGGCAGGATGAAGTAGAGGCATGATGTTGAAGTCTTAGAATGTGAAGTATTAAAGTCTTGCCTTTGACACATACTTGCCGTGTGACCCTTAGCAACTTATGTAATCAGTGCCTAAAGGAAATTTGTGCCGCTATAAATGGCAGAATACATGCCCATCTATATTATTGGAGGGTATTTCCTCACTAAGAGATTCCCCTAGACCAATGAAAAAAAAGTATAAGTGTATAAATCAGAAACTGTTTTTTTCATTGATGTGGTAGATCTTCCAATGACGAAATACACATACATGTGTATTTCATATATCCATATACATACATACATACATACATATGTATATGTGTGTGTATATATATATATATATATATATATATATATATATATATGTTTATCAGTACTCTTCCTTACCAATTCCTTTATCTGTCGTCTCCCTATCTGTCTATCTATGTACCGTCACTAGACCAGGGTTTTTGTCACGGCTCCTCCATTTACTAGCTGTGTAGTCTTAGGCACGTTATTTTTCCACCTCGTTTTTTAGTTTCCTCTTGGAAACAAGACTAACACAAACTACAGAATTTTCGTGAATATTAAGTCAGATAATGTATTTAAAGTGCTTTCTAACTAAAGTATAAGATATATCTGTTCTATATAGTTTTAAATGTACGATATTACTATCTACCTACACACTATTTATTTATTCATTTATTCATTTATATATAAGTATATGGCATTATATATAATTATACTCTCCCCTAAACTCTACTGGTTTTGTTATGGGAGTATTTTTTCCTTATATGGAGAAACAAACTTAGAGAATGGAAATAACTTGTCTAATGCCATACAGCTATGACAGAATCAAAATTGGAACCCTGGTCTTGTGTCTATATCTCTTGGACTCTTTCAACCAGTTCCTGCCTCTTCTCTAGCAATAATTATACTAATATCATGATGGGCCTTTCCCCTAATCCTTCTGTATACCAGTGATACCATATGACTAGATATATGCACTCTCAATTGTGACATTCTAACTATTTTTTCTAGCTTACCAGAGTTCTAGGAATCCAGATGCACAATCAGTGAACGCTTTTTCATCGTGATGATTTGTCAGAGTGGTTCTAGGCAGTAGCCCCTTTCATTCATTCTTGTCTATTTGCTTTTTCTGCATCACAGGGAGATGCTGGACTCAAAGGCCTCCCAGGACCTCCAGGAGTAACTGGACCAAAGGTTAGTCGGATTCAATAAATGTTTCTCAATTGTCTGTATTTGGTTATTTTTGACCATGGAGAAGAAAGTCATAATTATTCAAATTATGTGTGTATGTTTGTAATAGAAGCTTGCACCTGCAAAGAGCTTTCCTCACAATAATCCTATGCTGTAGGCAATAACAGTGTTATTATCTCCATTTTACAGGTGAGGAAACTGAAGCTTATGGGGGAGGATTGACTCATTATTTCACAGTATGTGCCTTCTAAAGAGTCATAACCAGGATTCAAATCCACATCTCCTGATTCTAAGCCCTTTGTGCATTCTTCCACATCAGGCTACCTCTTTGGATCATCCTATCATCCCTAGAAAGACTTCTCTACAGCCAACAAGAATCTTCTACTTATATATAATGTACATTTTCACACTTGATTATATCTCATTTAGTTATTTATGTTAAAGGGCCTTTTACTGATCTTTAGTTGTTTGTTTATATCTTCTTTTCCAGCGAGACCATAAGCAGCTTGAGGGTGAGAACTTTGTCTTATGTATCTTTTGTATCTGTGAGTAGTTACACTTGATGTAACTAATAAATATGATAGCATCATAGAATCCAAGAGCTTAAATGTTCCTTAGTGGCCATCTTATCCAAACTCCCTATACCACAATTCCAGTGGTGACTGTCAGGCATAGGTCTCTGGGGAGAAAATTGTAACATGAGGCAAATTTGCCTTTGCTGGCCTAGAATTACAGTGTAGTGAGCCCTATATGAATTTAGACCTGGAACAGAATCTTAAAAATCATCTTTTATATCTTCACTCAAGAAAGGAGGAAAATGAAAAGGACTCATCCAAGGTCACCTAGGCAAAAAATACCAGGGATGAGATTCAAAAGAAGGCTATCTTCCTTTTCCATTCTATCTATTATTTCTTGATAACTTCTTTAGAATCCCAACTTTGGAAGGAGACTCATTCGTCATCTAGTTCAATCTGGTTAGAAACTTCCTCTACAATAGCCCTGTTAAGTATTTATCCAACCTTAGCAATGGGGAGCTCACTATCTGAAGTCAGCCCATTGGACTATTAGACAGCTGAGTTTTAGCAAGTTCTTACATGTTGAATGACAAAATGTTTAATAAAACCTGTGAATTGCCGCACTCCCACCTATTACAGTATGCTTATGAGTGCAACAAAGAATCACAAAATCAGAATTTAATGAGATCCCAGCAACTATCTAGTGCAATTCATACTTAAAAAAGGAATGTTTTCTACAACAGCTTTGGCAAACCTCTCTTTAAAGACTTCCAGTAATAGAAAACTGACCTCCTCTTAAGGCACCACATTCCTCATTTGGGCACCTGTAGTTGTTAATAAGTTTTCCTTATGTTGAGCACAAATCCCTGTAGATTCCATTCATTGGTCCTAGATCTGACAATAACTCTTAAAATATTCAGAAGACATTTCCACTATACTTTCTCTTCTCCAGGACAAATGTTCTGATTCCTTCCAGCCATCCTCATATGGAATGGCATACAGTTTCCTCCCTTGCCATCCTGGTTGTTCTCCTCTCAATACTTGGGCATATCTATTCCCTTCCTATAATAAAATGGGAGCACTGAAAACAATACTGCATTTATTATCTGATCATGACAGAGCATATTCAGACTTTCTTATCCCTAGTCCTAAACATCATGCTTCTCTTAATACAGTCAGGATCCCATTCTGTGTTTTATTTTTCCCTGAGATCTAAAATTCAATTAATTTCCTTCCCTCCCTCCCTTCCTCCCTTCCTCCCTCCCTCCCTCCCTCCCTCCCTCCGTCCCTCCCTCCCTTCCTTCCCTCCCTCCCTTCCTCCCTCCCTCCCTCCCTTTCTTCCTTCCCTTCCTTCCTTCCTTCCTTCCTTCCCTTCGTTCCTTCTTTCCTTTCCTTCCTTCCTTCCTTCCTTCCTTCCTTCCTTCCTTCCTTCCTTTCTTCCTTCCCTTCCTTCCTTCTTTCCTTTCCTTCCTTCCTTCCTTCCTTCCTTCCTTCCTTCCTTTCCTTCCTTCCTTTCTTTCCTTCCTTTCCTTCCTTCCTTCCTTCCTTCCTTCCTTCCTTCCTTCCTTCCTTCCTTCCTTCCTTCCTTCCTTCCTTCCTTCCTTCCTTCCTTCCTTTCCTTCCTTCCTTTCCTTCCTTCCTTTCCTTCCTTCCTTCCTTCCTTCCTTCCTTCCTTTCCTTCCTTCTTCCTTCCTTCCTTCCTTCCTTCCTTCCTTCCTTCCTTCCTTCCTTCCTTCCTTCCTTCCTTCCTTCCTTCCTTCCTTCCTTCCTTCCTTCCTTCATCTGTTTGTTTGGTTAATTGTCATTTTGGAAGACAATCAAGAAGGCAAAAATTGCCCATGAATAGCCAAAGTATATGAGCAGTTTATTGTATATTGTTCTTTCTTTCTGTGGTCATCAGCAATTGTGAGGCTAAACTGGCTGGAAGATTTTCTTTTTAAGTGCAGTAATTGAAACTCATCATTTCACTGAGGCTCCTACTCCTAATTACTACTTCAGCCTCTAAAGCTGTCTATGTTGAAATAACTATGTGCCAACTGTTTTCCTCATCAGCCTGCCATCATGTGAAGGCTGATATCTTGGGGGTCCTCTTCCATCTTTTTCCCTTTAAAATTCTATTTCGGGGTCATCTCAGCTTTTTTAATTCTCTAGTCTGGCAAGAAAACCTCTATTCATTTAGTCCCCTAGGCTCACAGTCTCAGATGTCAGCTTTAAATCCTCCCTATTACTCATCACCCACATCTAGTCTAATACCAAATTCTCTTCATATCTGTCCCACCATTCAATTTAATTCAACAAGGTTTAAGCATCTACTCTGGGCAAGGTGAAGTTCTAAGCCCTTGAAATATTAACACAGAAATGAAAGTCTTTGCCCTTAAGTTGCTTACATTCTGTGGTTTAAAAAAAATGTCCTTTTCTGTCCTTTGAATTCACATACTTTACATAATAACAGCTAGTCTTTGTAAAGCACTTTCAATATTTGTTCATAACAAGCCTATCAAGTAGATATTAGAGGTGTTGTCCTATTGAACAGAAGAGAATTCTAAGATTTAGCAAAGATGAGTGACCTGCCCAAGGTTGCACAACCAGTAAGTGTTAGAGTTGGGATTCAAACCAAGGGGTCCCCTGAATCCATCCAGGCTAAGAATTTTCCTACTACTCTAGAACAGGGGTGAGAAAACTACAGCTAAGGGCTGCCCATAGGTCTACGAGCTAAGAATTGTTTTTACATAAATTTTTGTCATATTTTAAAAATACCAAAAACAAACCAAAAAACACCTCATTCTTAGTTCCCTAAGGGCCTTACAAAAATTGGTAGCAGTTTGCCTTTGTCTCTGAGGCCATAGTTTGCTGACCTCTGCTAGGATGTTGCTCTTGTCAAGCTGTAATGCAGAACATTATTTTGCCATTTGGGTAGTAGGGCCCTTTAAGCCATGGAAAGCAAAAGTTGGTGCTTAATCTTGCCCCAGACCTCTTTCTTCCTAAATCTAAACAATAGTGAAATGTACTTTTGCATAGCTCAGCATAGCCCATGCTTGCAATATAATTGCTTTAGATAATTATGTTTATACCAGAGACCAGGACACCTGGTCTGGTTTGTGTGATCTCTGACCTGTAATGATGGGGTGCTTGGGTGCTTGTACTTGTACTTGTGCCCCAATTTCTCCCTAGTCTCAGAAACACTGTCTCAAACAAACACTCCCCAGCCCAAGGACACTGTGCCTAGCAGTTATTCATTCATGGGCCTCAGCATGACCCTTATCTCTCTCCCTGATACAGCTACACAGAGCTGGGCTGCTCAGGCCCCAGCCCTCAGATCATATCTCTGGAAGCCTCCCAATTCCTTAGTAAGTTCCTGTGTTGTGAGAAGGCTTTCCCTTGTTGCAGAGCATTCTTTCATCAAGACAGAGGGAGAGGGGTGTCCTTGGCCAGCCCAAGGACTGTTCCTCCTGCCAGACTCCAAAGATCCATCTCCCTCCCTGTCTGGTATACTCCCTGTACTTTCCCATCCTTAGCTCCCAGACACCTGCACCTTTGGTTTACCTCATCAGTATTCCTGGCATTTCTTTACCATGCTCTTTTCCATGTAAACCCTAGCTTCACCCCTGATCGGGGCTGCTTGATTTGGATGTGCATACCCCTTGCAGCCCTGCGCTAATAAATCCATATTTTAAATTACGTCTGGGTCTCGCTCGCTGATTTCTCAGTACAACGAAGCCTACTGCCAGTATGTTAACTTGGGTCTTTATTATTCCCCATTTGAACTATTGCAGTATCCTCATTGTAGGTGTCCCAACCTTCAGTCTCTCTCCAAGAATCTGTCTTTCTCATCCTATCTGACTTTATCTCTAATCAGATCACTCCTTTATTCAAAAAACTTGTAATGACTTTCTATTGTCTTCTCATTAAAATTCATATTCCTTAGCTTAGCATTCCAGACCCATTAGCAATGGGTCCCAAATTGCCTTTCTAGGCTTCTCTTGTACCTCATTTATTCTATGATTTTGCCAAACTGGTGTACTCCCTACCCCCACCCTGAATTTGCTCTCTGCCTCAGTGTCTTTGTCCACATTGTCCTCCTCCAACCTGCATTACCACCTTTATATCTTACTCAAGCTTCTGTGTTCACCTTAAATGCTGCCTTCTCTATTAAGCCTTGCCTTATCTCCCTTCATTTAATATGTTCTCTTCCTCTTATCTTACTCATGAGCCAACAGAAATGTGTTTACTTTTACTAGGTTTTTTTGTTTGTTTGTTTGTTTGTTTTTGGTGAGGCAATTGGGGTTAAGTACTTTTACTAGTTTTCTTGAAGACAATTGATTCCAAGCAAGCCATTTAATTTGAAATAGCACAGTGAGGGAAGTAGTTCTAGGATGTGTCCCAAATACAACTGGAATGCACTCTTCTACATACCATTAATGATAAGAGTAGATACATCTAAGAAACATTTAGAAAAGAGAGCAAGTTTCAAAATCATATGTGGCCAGG